TATATATATATATGTACATTTGCGTATACTTAGATTTTCTCGGAATATTCTATGAATAAAACTCAACCCACCCCCACCCCGCTCCTTCCCCATCGCCACCCCCATTCACATCCCATCTCACGCGAGTAATTGATTTATCCTTCATCTAACTGTGAACAAAATTATTATTAGATTTTTGTTCGATATTTTTCCATTAGTCTCTTTTTTCCTTATTTATTTAAAATCTTTTTTCGATTTGTTATTATTATGATATTGTATAATGATATATTGTTAATGTTTCAATTAGAATCATCATTGGATTGATTAATATAATTGGACTGAATATTTGGATTATTCGGATATGTTTCGCGTATAGATTGATATATGTGTGTTTGTGTATTCGTTATATGTTTTTTATTCAAATTAAATTAATTTTATATGAGAAAAATATAATATGTCTATTTAATCGAAATATTCTCGTCAATTATTTATCAATTATTAAATTGAAGATAGTATAATAATTCTTAGTCTTTTAAAATGTTCTTACTATACATATATACCATTCGTTATAAATAATTAATCATGTTGATTGGATAATTAAAAAATATGTGGAGAAAAAAAAAAAGAATAATATAAACGATTGTCGATGGTTTTGATATATTTTCTTGAAAAAAATCAAAATAATAATAATAATTGATTTAGTTATTCGAATACTAACGTAACATTTATTTGAATTATTTCTTTTTCTTTCAGATATAATAATAGATAAAATAACTGTTCATCATGTGGGACATCCATCCGTTCGTTCGTTCATTTTCATCGTCAAAACCAAACTACGAATGGATGATATTCTTTATTCCGGACTGCGAGAAGAAAGCCAATCAAGCAAAGGCAAACCGCTTTCTTATCGATCGAGTTGTTCTTCTTTCTCTCTTTTTCTCTCTTTCCCTTTTATATTCTTCTTCCTTTTCTTCCCCATCTCACCCTCCCACCCACCCTCTCTCACTCTCTCTCTCTCTCTCTTCTATGGTTGCTGCGATGATGCTGGCAACGATCAAAACCGTTCAAATTCTAAACTTGGAAATCGTCGAAAAGGAAATCAAGAATAAAACACGCAGTTTAAATTCGAGTTTGATTAAATAAAAAGGGGGAATCGATTAATCGAAAAAGGAAATGAATAAATTCATCGACTCTCTCTGTCTCTCTCTCTCTCTCTCTTTTTTTCTTTTTCTTTAGCTTTATTTGATATTGTAACATTTGTTATTATTATTATTATTATTATTGTTATTATTAGTATTATTATTATTATTATTATTATTATTATTATTATTATAATATTTGTTCGTATGCGAATTCAGAGAGATAGAAATTATTCTCTCTGAAAAATACATTTTATACATTTTTTTTTTTTCTTCGTTCCTCTTGTATATTATTATCTTGTTCTTTTTTTCTCCATGAGAGAGACTCTTTTCGCGAAAAGAAAAAATAACATTTAGGAGAATTAACGAACGGAAAAAAAAAAAAAACAATCGACACAATTTATTTATTAAACAAACGAAAATACATAATCAATATCTTCGAGATGAAATTGTACGAATTTACCTACCATACCGACTACGAAACATGAAGGACCTTGAACGTATCGCATGTTGATAGTTGAAATGGTAGAATCAACTGAGCAATGAAATCTATCAACTTTTTTAGATGATCATTTCATTTTATACGCAAGAGTTCAACATACATACATACATATACACGCACGCATACACGCATATCCATTCGAATGAACTGTGAGCAATGAAATAAATCAGTTCTTTTAGATGATCGTTTCGCTTCTCTTCATATACACACACATACACATAAACAAATACATCACGCGGCACATACACAATCATACACTGAGAGTAACATCTGTATAATATATATATAAATATGTATACAAAAGCGAAAATGGGTATCATTAATCATGATTCGAATTACATGGGTTAATTCGTATTTGGTTAACAATCTAATATAAAGCGAGATGATCAGATTATTTTCAATAATTGACTATGTTTGTTCAACGATAAAAGAGCAACGCAAAACTAAAATTGATCGTTGATCGTTTCGATTATATAAGTAGTACATTGTTTTATTATACAAATGAATGATGTAGTAGAGTTAATAAAAGAGTATTAAACGCATATCCGAAATATGGTTAAACTTGAAATTATTCTACTTGTAATAAATAATATTAACGTTAGTATATACTTTTTCATTTGTTTTCAATAGAAAATAGAAAGATCTTTTAATCATCGTGTGTGAATTGTTTTAATTAGATTAAGTTCAACTACGATGATTAGTATCGATTAGTAATAGACCTCATTGCTTTTACAACGTGTTTGTTTGTATGTGTGTGTGTGTGCTTTACTAAAAGAAAAAAAACATACACACACACATATACATAGACTCATATAAGATACAATCGAATCAAATGTTTTATGTTAATCGTTATAAATACAGGATTATTTATAATCATAATAATGAATCTAAATATATTACTCACACGTACGTTGTGTTATCGCTTGGAACGAAATGTTTTCAACGAGACTTCCATTGAACAATTTTAAAACCGCTAATAAACACCGCTTGTATCATACGTATATAATCTAACTATTCTTAAGTGTTATAACACGACAGGAAAAAGGAAACCACGTTAGGCGGTAATAAAATGCGTCATTTGTTGTGGCTAACACACATGCTAGATATAATAAATTGATATTTAAGTTTAATTGAGATAGCATTGTTCTTAGCGAATACACGACTATAAATTGTCTTTAGTTTTCAAAGTAAATTCAAAACGAAAACATATTAGTTTGAATTAAGAATAAGAAAGAAGGTGATCAAATTAATTATTATCTTCTTTGATCACATCGATTTTAATTAATACAACAACAATAATTAAAAATAAGATATATATATATATAAAATGGCACCTATACGTTTCATTATAATTGTCATTTTTCTATCGTTGATATTTTTGATGGGGATTATGGAAGTTTCCCCGGTGTTAATTTCGTATCCATTGATAAGAAACAGAAAAATTCCATGTCAACGTGGGTACAAATTGGATATGCAAGGAAAATGTCGTCAAATTTTGTAAATTTCAAGGTAAGTTATAAACAAGTTGATAAATAAATCACAAAAGTAATGAATTTTATTATTAATTGAAAACAAAAAAAAAGAAAAAACAAGTCTGCTTGAATTATTTTTATTCAAGTTTTCACAGTTGTACGTATTATTTGTACGTGTTCAAAGGGCAAAGCTATTAACTCTACCTTTTGTGCATTTGAAAAAAAAAAAAGGAAAAACGTTTGAAATTTAACGAACAAAGCCACTTAATGGCTGTTTAACTCTTTTGACTCGTTATATTTTTTTTTTCTTTTTCAAATTCGTTCTCTCCTCTCTTTGAGATAATTAAGTTTACATTTCTGTCACGCCTAACAACGATAATTATTAATAACGTTAATACGATTGATAATTATTCATTTTTTGTTTAACGTAAAATAACGTTTTTATTTATTTGTAATCAATCAAATTCAATTATATTCGATTAATTACGTTAAACGTGTCGTCCCTGTTGCAATATATAATTTTTTCATTTCATATATATATTTTTATGATGATAAATTTCACAAGGGTGACAACTTATAAATTAATCAATTTCTTTTTTTTCTGCAACTTTTTCAATACGATGGAATTAATAGTTTTTGTGAAAAATAAACGAAGTAGTGTGCGAGTATCTGCGAGATGGAATAATTTGCTTTTATTTTCTTTCGTTCGTTTTTATTTTTCGTTTATTATTATTTCACGAACATTGCACTTTTTTATTTTACAGATATAAAGAAGAAAAAAAGAAGGAAGGTTTCAATCGAAGCATGGAAATCGTATAATAAGAGAGGAGGAGGAGGAGAGAGGAGGAGGAGACGACTCAACATTAAAAGCGTTTATTTATTTTAATTCAATTCGTTAAAGTATGTTTCACACGCGTATAAAAGCACATCCCAAGGTCTTTACGAGTTTTCTTCTTCTTTTTTTT